TGCTGGAATCTGTGGGATCAGAGGTTCGAGTCTTTCTGCAGGATCATGACTTAACCACTGCATTGGAGGCAGCCAGGTTGGCTGATACCTTTGAAACTAACCGCTCCTTGTCCAAGCGGTCCTGTCCCTCTTTTCAACAGCCTGGCATGTGCAGAGATCGTCAACCTTGGAGAATGAAGTGCCAGCCAGAGGGAGAACGTCTACATCAGCTAACTAAGTCACCTGGTGAGCCACGCTTCTCAACTTATGGTCCACCTGGTGAGAGACAAACTACTCAACATGGTGCATCTCGACAACAGTATCCAGAGAGACACCAGCCAGAGCGACACCAGTTGCAACATCAGCAGGGAGTAAAGGGCAAGCCTGTCGTCTGCTTCCTCTGTAACCAAGTAGGTCACATCCGTCCCAACTGCCCCCACAAACCCCAACCCATTGGGAAAATCTCTAATATCCCTAGTAACATGTCCCCGAGAGAAGTAGAAAAAGGGATGGCCCCTTATTATTGTAAGAGTCTTATTTCCCTTCAGGAAAACTCCGAAACAACTGAAGTCAAAACTTTAGAGAAAATGGAGCATATTGCTCACTTATAAGGGGGGGAAATATTACCCCTTTCAAAGAACAACTTTCTTGAATTCCTCTGTTTTATTTGAAAGCATTTGGAGGAGCTATATATTCTGTCCCTTTGCTTTAAATTTATGTACAGTGACAATATTACACTGCGTACTTGGACTGTGGGTGTATCCAAAGGATTCCCATGAAAGATGCCATGTTTTTAAACTGGGTAATAACATTACCACTGCTAGTGTGTGTCCTGAACCCATAATGATTAATTCTTTTCCGATGTTGGCCCATAATGGGCAACATCCCAAGGGTTGTCTGGTGAGAATGTTGACCTATCCTTGGATGACTCTGATCTCGGAAAAATTAGCCACGTTGTTTTACAAAGGCACACGGCCGGAGGGGTTTGTAAATCAAGTGAACCAGACCCGATCAAGCCTTCCTATTCCCAGGTTGCAGGATTGCCAGAATCTCTGTTTCCATGCCGAGGGACTTTCCTTCCGGGAGGAACAACGAAAGGACCTTTCTTTAAATTTCGCTTTTCAGCAGCCATGGGTAAATCCTCTCTGGTCTTTCCGGTCAAGTATAAAACTTAAAAACGATTATTTGATCTGCATGAGACTGGTAAGGAGATAGAGGGCCAGCAATTGTCTGACAGGTTAGTGGTTCCAACAAAGTTTTTGACCTCAAAAAATTGAAATATAGCTCATATACTTTCATTAGGAGGTCACTTAGGAATTACTAAAACCTTATATAGAATCGCAAAAAGAATTTTATTGGCCAAAATTAAAGCAGGATGTGAAGAATCATATCCGGTGTTGCCGAGAATGTCAGCAAGTAGGGAAAACCTGGACATTCCCTTAAACCTGCACCTCTCCACCAATACTGCTGATGGAGAAACCTTTTGCAGATTTAATTATAGATTGTGTAGGTCCACTACCTAGGTCAAAGTCGGGAAATCAGTATTTATTTACCATTATGGATAGAGTAACTAGATATCCTGAAGCAATTCCCATGCGCAGTATTAATACTAAAGCTATTCTCAAAGCTTTAACAAAATTTATTTCTTGTTTTGGCATTCCTAAAACTATTCGAAGTGATCAAGGTACTAACTTCACTGCCAAAGCATTTAGGGAAGCATTAAGTAGGTTAGGGATAATCCACAACTTATCCACTGCGTATCATCCTCAGTCTCAAGGCGCCTTGGAAAAATTCCATCAGACGTTAAAAACCATGATGAGAACTTTTTGTATGCATTTTCCTACAGACTGGGATGAATCACTACCTTTGTTGCTGTTCTCAGTGCGAGAAACGGTGCAAGAGTCTACCGGGTATAGTCCATTTGAGCTGATCTTTGGGCACAATGTACGAGGTCCTTTTCGGGTGCTCAAAGAAGGATGGATGGGAGAAGACGATAGCTCAACACTACAACCGGTCTTCAAGGTTGCAGGTGGCACATCAGTTAGCCAAGGCTAACCTAAAGACAGCTCAAAATATGATGAAACAGAGGTATGACAGAAGTGCACAATTCTGTTCCTTCCATCCAGGAGACAAGGTGTTGGTGCAGGAACCTATACCTGGCCACACCTTGAAAGCTAGATTTACAGGACCTATGCAAATTGTAAGTAAATTATCTGATGTAAATTATGTGGTAGCTCCCATTGATAAGACCTCAAAAACTAAAACTTACCACATTAATCAATTAAAATCTTTTCATACACCAGATAAAGTCCCAGTAATGACTCTGTCCTCTTCCTCTAAGGACGACTCTGACTCTTTGCACTCTATTTCTGAAATTAATGTTAAACTTTCAAACTCTGTCCTCCTCAAGGACCCTAGCTCTTTAATGGAGGGACTATCTGAAACGCAAGCAACAAGTTTAACTGAGCTTCTACAGTCATACCCTGATATTTTTTCGGATGTGCCGAAAAAATGTACGTTAGGTTTTCATGATGTAGATGTGGGAAACTCTAAACCTATTAAACTCTCCCCCTACAGAGCTAATCCTGAAAAGCAAAGGCTACTTCAGCAGGAAGTAGAATTTCTTTAAGAGCATGGTTTAGTGGAGAAGGCATCTAGTCCATGGGCTTCACCGTGCATCCTTGTTAAAAAGCTGATGGAGGGTTTCGTATGTGTACAGACTACCGTAAGGTGAATGAGGTCACAATCCAGATGCTTTACCCCCTTTTCCCCTCTCTGGATGACGTAATCGACTTTGTGGGTAAAGCTACTTTTGTGTCCAAGTTAGATCTTAAAGGTTACTATCAGGTACCTTTGACGGATAAGGCGAAGGAAATCTCTGCCTTCGTAATTCCAGGATGTCATTATCAATATAGAGTTACCCCTTCGGAATGAAAAATTCCCCCTCTTCATTCCCAGAAAAACTTATCCATCAGGCTATTAAAGGACTTTTAAGGCACGGCAGCATACCTGGGGTGTATTGTTTTGTGGTGTCTGAAACTTGGGATCAACACCTATTTAGACTTAAGGCTCTTTTTGAGAAACCTTTCAGAGTTCCCATCTAACTGTTAATTTATCTAAATCTTCCTTTGGCCAGGCCACTATCACTTTTCTAGGCCATGAAGTAGGTAGTGGTAAAGTTGCTCCTAAACTTGCTAAAGTTCTTGCCATTAAAGATTATCCAGTTCCTCATGATAGGAAATCTCTTCAACGTTTCCTAGGCATGATAGGATTTTACAGAAGATTCTGTAAGAATTTCTCAGATATTGTAGCCCCTCTTACCTCTCTTACCAGTCACAAAGTTCCCTTTAATAGGACCCCAGAATGTCAGAGTGCTTTTGATAAAGCAAAAAGATTATTGTGTACTGCACCCATTCTTTTGTCTCCAGACTTCTCCAAACCTTTTTCATTACAGGTTGATGCTTGAGAGTCTGGGGTTGGGGCAGTACTATTGCAAAACAGGAACGAGGAGTTGCAGCCTGTAGCCTATTTTTCAGCCAAATTCCAGCCGCATCAGAGGGCTTACTCTACCACTGAAAAAGAAGCCCTCGCTCTGGTACTGGCTTTGGAGCATTTCGATGTTTATGTGGGCCAGACATCACAGGTGGTCACTGTCTACAGTGATCACAATCTTCTAGTATATCTCCAATCCATGAAGAACCACAACACAAGGCTCATGCGTTGGACATTAAGACTGCAACCCTATTTTTTGAAAATTGTACATATTGCTGGCAAAGAAAATATGTTGGCAGATTCCTTATCTAGAATCTAATATTATTTATAATTGTATATTAGGTTAGGATGTGTTAGGTTACTTGTGGTAACCCCTTCCAAGCTCTTTTTTTTTTTATCCCCTGGTGTGGGGTTTTTTTTTTAGTGAGGGGATGCGGGCTACCGTCCGCCTGTATCTTGGACCTAAGCTAGCCCGTCTGTCTGCTGTTTTGCTCTGAGTTTAGGGTTTGGCTTTTTGTCACGAGAAAAGCTGAGCTCTAAGAGTTGGATGGTTGAGATGAAAGGTGGTCCCATTATTTTGTGCCATGATGGCACGGTTACCACTGGGAGGTGGCAACCTAATCCTGAGCCTTCTCGGGGTGGGGGTGTGGCATGCAAAGAGTACGTAACCTTTATTCAGCACATGTACACACCCTCATTTACAGGCTGTCTCCCCCAACCAGCGAACCAGGTAGCTGAGGGTTGACAATGGGGCCCCGTCGTTCAACTAGTAACCAGGTTCCAGCCAATAAGAAGATGTTTTTGGCAATCACAGAGGTTATGTGGGTACCACTCTCTTGTCTGCCCTTGTCATTCCCATTTTAGAGCTGGTTGAAGCACGGTCTGCTCTCTTGTGGCTTCTATTCTGCCTTGCTTACCATGGAGTGCAATAATACCTATCACTGTACATAGTGTACATAGTGTACGTACTGCTGTTCTAAATTGGTGAAGGATAAAATAAGTCAAAACTTTTCTGCTGTGTTTATTTTGCTCCCTTTAAACCCAGGATAACAGGTCATTTGGAATCCTGGGTTGTAATAACTGTTGTCTACTATTAAGCCCAGGAATTCTGCCCTCTTCTTTCTGTAGTATTTGAGTCTCATTAATTCTAATATCATGTACCTCCTGTCACCACTTCTTCTACATCCATAAACTGTACCCTTTTCTGCTGCAATCTGTCATGACTATTATAACAATCATGAGATATGACTGAGTGATCACTGTACAGTAAACATTGTACAGTAATAACTGTACAGTAATCATTGTATAGAGATCAATTTCTGCTGCATCATTTAGGAAAACGGCTCCTAACACCTATTAATGTTAAAATGAAGTTTCACTATATAACGCAACACCATAAATTGTGAAAAATAAACTTACTTCAGATAGGTCATGCAGTACCTAGGTAATGAGAGGTGATCAGAGTTGATCTCAAGAAAGAATCAAGAGCACTTGAAGGGCGTTAGAAGAAAACAACGGTAGTGACGAACCTTTCTCCATGAAGTGTGGAGGTACTGCAGGGGGAATGTCAGCCTCAGAGGTGGGTGGTGGTGGCAGGGGAGGAGAGGAGGCACCAGAGGAGCGACTGTTGTATTCCTGCTCGCTCACCACTCCAGATGACGCAGGTGACGGAGGCGCTGCTGTCGTACAGACGACCGGCCACACAACAGGGCATGGGGCAGCAAGGCCAAAATTAATGGTGTCTAGCATGTATTGTAGTTTCACAAATTTAACTACACATATAACTAAGTACATTTATCTGACATAGTAATTTAACAAAATAATGTAAACTATTTTTAATGATTATATTACAATAATTTTCACAGCTCAGTAATTACTGATTATGGGAATAAAAGAACTCATTAGTATACAAAATCTAGAGTGAAAAAACAGCAGGCAAAGAAAATATCACAAAAGATCAAGACTTTCAAGTTCCTTATCCACAACTAACATACAAATTAGGAAGAAAACTCTTAATGTCATTCTGGTCTGAGATGGACCATTATAGTCACCAGGTGGTCCAGGTCCAGCTCAGACCATGGACTGTTCCAGTCACCAGGTGGTCCAGGTCCAGCTCAGACCATGGATTGTTACAGTCACCAGGTGGTCCAGGTCCAGCTCAGACCATGGACTGTTACAGTCACCAGGTGGTCCAAGTCCAGCTCAGACCATGGACTGTTACAGTCACCAGGTGGTCCAGGTCCAGCTCAGACCATGGACTGTTCCAGTCACCAGGTGGTCTAGGTCAAGCTCAGACCATGGACTGTTCCAGTCACCAGGTGGTCCAGGTCCAGCTCAGACCATGGACTGTTCCAGTCACCAGGTTGTCCAGGTCCAGCTCAGACCATGAACTGTTACAGTCACCAGGTGGTCCAGGTCCAGCTCAGACCATGAACTGTTACAGTCACCAGGTGGTCCAGGTCCAGCTCAGACCATGAACTGTTACAGTCACCAGGTGGTCCAGGTCCAGCTCAGACAGTAATGAGGCCTCAAGTTTCCACTCTAAATTCTTCATTAGTTATGAACAGTATCAGTCATGGAACATTAACTTTTATGTTACCATTGCCTTAAATAAAAATAAGTGTCAATCAAGTGAACACTGGCAGTCATGATGCCACATGAACAATAATAAAACAATGTGCTTAGGTTGGGTGAGGAATTAGTCAGTGGAGAGCAGATGCTCCACTTGATAACATATTTTGTATATTAGATGAGCAGGGAGACAGAATATACTAGCTACATTATCTGCATGCTTCTCTAACACTCTATAAACAACAATTAACATAACAATATTTACAATATTCATGCCACACCACCACACAAAAACCTAGTTTCACAGAACTCATAAACTTACTCAAGACAGATCGGCAAACATTACTTAGCTCAACAAAAGTAAAAAAATAAGGCTTAAGTACAAGGAGTCATATGAATAACATTAATGGCAGGGTGAGGAGAAAGTATGAGAGAGAGCGACTTGAGAGAAGAAGAGAAGAGAGCAGGAGAGAGAAGAAGAGAAAAGAGAGAAGAGAGAGAGAGAGATGAGAGATAGAGGAAGAAAATAGACAGAAGAGAAAAGAAATGAGAGGAGACAAGAGAGAGAGAGAGAAAGAGGAAGGAAAGAGAGAAGAAAAGAGAGAAAAGATGGAGAGAGAGAAAAGAGAGAAAGAGAGAGAGAGAGAAGAAGAGAGAGCGAGAGAGAGAGAGAGAGAGAAAAGAGGAGAGAGAAAGAGAGAGAGAGAGAAAGAGGAGAGAGAAAAAGAGAGAAGAGAAGAGGAAGAGAGAGAAGAGAAGAGAGAAAGAGAGAGAGAAAGAGAGAGAGAGAGAAAGAAAAGGGGAGAGAGAAGAGAGGAGAGAAAGAGAAAGAAAGAGAGAGAGAAAGAGAGAAGAGGATGAAAAGAGAGAGAAGAAAAGAGAAGAGAGAGAAAGAAGAGAGAAAAGAAGAAGAGAGAGAGAGAGAGAGAGAGGAGAGAAGAGAGAGAGAAAGAGAGAGAGAGAGAGAGAGAGAGGAGAGAGAGAGAGAGAGAGAGGAGAGAGAGAGACGAAAAAGAAGAGAGAAGAGAGAGAAGAGAGAAAGAGAGAGAGAGAGAAGAGAAGAGAGAAGAGAGAGAGGAGAGAGAAGAGAGAGAGAGAGAAGAGAGAGAGAGAGAGAGAAAAGAGAGAGAGAGAGAGTGAGAGAGAGAAAGAGAGAAAGAGAGATAAAGAGAGAGAGAGGAGAGAGAAGAAGAGAGAAAGAGAAAAAGAGAGAGAGAGAAAGAGAGAGAGAAAGAGAGAGAGAAAGGGGAGAGAGAAAGGGGAGAGAGAGAGGGGAGAGAAAGAGAGAGAGAGAAGAGAGAGAAAAGAAGAGAGAGAGAAAAAGAGAGAGAGAGAGAGAGAGAGAGAAAGAGAGAGAGAAAGAGGGGAGAGAAAGAGAGAGGGAGAAGAGAGAAAGAGAGAGAAAAGAGAGAGAGATGGGGGGGGAGGAAGGATAAAAGTTAAGATAACAATGAAGAACAGGAAAAAGACTATAGACAAAGAGAGAGGAAAGAAAAGGTGATAGGAACAAGAAGAAGAGAGAGATAGACAAAAAGGGGAAAGACAAAGGATGAACCGGGGAAAACAGTAGAGATTAAAAGAAGGAGAGAAAGGTGATAGGGATCAAAAGAGACGATTAATAAGAAGGGAGAAGTTCAAGGTGATGGGGGGGGAAGTTTCAACAGGATAAAATGTTTTAAGTTATAAACAAAAGGAATTACAAAGTTTTAACACCGGGGGAATAAAAAGTTCTTCATTTACACTAAGAAGGAAAGTTACAAAGGTGATACCTGGGGAATCAACAAGTAAGTTTTACCATTTACACTAAGAAGGAAAGTTACAAAGGTGATACCTGGGGAATCAACAAGTAAGTTTTACCATTTACACTAAGAAGGAAAGTTACAAAGGTGATACCTGGGAATCAACAAGTAAGTTTTACACATTTACACTAAGAAGGAAAGTTACAAAGGTGATACCTGGGGAATCAACAAGTAAGTTTTACCATTTACACTAAGAAGGAAAGTTACAAAGGTGATACCTGGGGAATCAACAAGTAAGTTTTACCATTTACACTAAGAAGGAAAGTTACAAAGGTGATACCTGGGAATCAACAAGTAAGTTTTACCATTTACACTAAGAAGGAAAGTTACAAAGGTGATACCTGGGGAATCAACAAGTAAGTTTTACCATTTACACTAAGAAGGAAAGTTACAAAGGTGATACCTGGGGAATCAACAAGTAAGTTTTACCATTTACACTAAGAAGGAAAGTTACAAAGGTGATACCTGGGGAATCAACAAGTAAGTTTTACCATTTACACTAAGAAGGAAAGTTACAAAGGTGATACCTGGGGAATCAACAAGTAAGTTTTACCATTTACACTAAGAAGGAAAGTTACAAAGGTGATACCTGGGGAATCAACAAGTAAGTTTTACCATTTACACTAAGAAGGAAAGTTACAAAGGTGATACCTGGGGAATCAACAAGTAAGTTTTACCATTTACACTAAGAAGGAAAGTTACAAAGGTGATACTTGAGGAATCAACAAATAAGTTTTGCTACTCATTTACTGACATGATCTCCAATTTGTAATGTCATGCTTTGGCTTAAAAATTCTTTGAAATTTTCTTTTAGATTTTCACAGTAAGTTAAAGTAAATGGATCACATAACTAACTACTACCCGAAGTCTACCTGAACGATGGTTTTGGGGACAACGCCTCCCAATGCCTGGTCCATGCCCAGGCCTCATGGTGAATCAATGCATGATCAACCAGGTTGTTACTGCTGGCTGCATGCAATGCATTATAGGAACCACAGCCTGGCTGCTCAGGTACCAACTTTAGGTGTCTGTCCAGCTCCCTCTTGAAGATAGCCAGGGGTCTATTGGTAATCCCCCTAATGTATGCTGGGAGGCAGCTGAACAGTCCTGGGCTCCTGATGCTTATTGTGTTTACTTCTCAAGTGAGTTATGACAGATGAATCACATACTTAGAACACCTCGAGCACCAATTATTCTCAGCTAAGGGAGCTCCAGTCTACATAACTACACATGCTAACAAGACTGCAGCTCCTGCCTACATGACTGCACAAGCTAACAAGACTGCAGCGCCTGCCTTCAACACCTACCACATAAAGCTGACCTGTACTGGATTATTACATCATTTATCATGTTACCTTGATGATAACTGGTTGTCAGCAGCAGTGTTACCATAGACTGTGTTACCTTGATGAAGACTGTGGTTGTCAGCAGAAGTGTTATCATAGACTGTATTACCTTGATGAAGACTGTGGTTGTCAGCAGAAGTGTTATCATAGACTGTGTCGCCTTGATGAAGACTGTGGTTGTCAGCAGCAGTGTCACCATAGACTGTGTCACCTTGATAAAGACTGCGGTTGTCAGCAGCAGTGTTATCATAGACTGTGTCGCCTTGATGAAGACTGTGGTTGTCAGCAGCAGTGTCACCATAGACTGTGTCACCTTGATAAAGACTGCGGTTGTCAGCAGCAGTGTTATCATAGACTGTGACACCTTGATAATGACTGGCTGTCAGCACCAGTCTTACCATAGACTGTGTCACCTTGATGATGACTGGTTGTAAGCACCAGTCTTACGTAAAGTAAAAGGACACAAGTGCAACTAATGTGACATTTTTATTGTTGCAATGTTTTGCTCTCCAGGAGCTTTGTCAAGCCGTTATAAACAGTACATGGACACAGAAGGTATATATAGGCTCAGAGTGAGGTGCAATACTAGTGGTAGTAGTAGTGATATAAGTTGTAGTAGTAGTAGTAGTAATACAATATGGTAGAACAATTAACTTGCACATAAGTAAAAGGATATAAAAGCTATTACATGGGAAACATAAAAATAGGTTAGACAAATATTTCTATTGAAGGCTGGATAGAGAAGACCTGTTTCAATGTTCATTCTCTGTAATGTGCTTGTATAGTATTAGCAGGAGAGACTATGTGATGGCAGGGTTTACTGTTTTCAGGAGGATTCTTGCTAAGACTTCAGAGATGGTGAAGCTGCCATTGTTTTGTTTAACTGTATTAGAAAAAGTGATTAGTGCTGAGTCAAGGCACTTGCGTCTGCGGAAATTAGTTTCTTTGATCACTAATTGGGCG